ACGTGGGGCAGCCTGGCTTGCGGCTTCTGAAGCAGGGAATGGTCGAGGGCCGGGATCCTGGCTAGGAATGTTCTGTGGGCGTTTCTTGCTCTGGTTTGTGAGCATTGCTCACGGTAAATTAAGACTCAGTGAAGAAAAACTTGGAGTTTCTAACGAATTACTTTTTCTACACCAGGAATAAAATTGCAAAACAATTTTAGCGCGATTGTAGCATGAAAATGTCAACTCCAACCATGGGCTAATTTCAAATGATCGGAGTACTTGCTTTTGGAACCCTTCATTGTCGAGGTGGCCGCAGTTTCGGGTTTCGCCAGACAGGGGTTATGCCAGGGATGGGTGATCTGGGCAGGGGACGGAAAGCCTCTGCCTAGAGTCGGGCTAGTGTCCAGAGTGCCTCCAAAGCCTGAGGGATGGCTGGGAGACATTTATGCGCTTAATGTTTTAGGATCCTAGGTTCGTTCTCAATCACTTAGGTAGGTGGGTGGGTGGGCGGACAGTGCAACCGAGTTCGCCATGGGTTAAGTAGCGTGTTTATAGGCACTCGGCCTGAAAGCTGCCGAGCCAGAGTTTGAACCCAGTCTTGTCCTGGGCTAGGACTTTGACACCACGTGTCCTGCCTGTGCAAACTGGGATGCCGGCCTCTCCTCCACGCGTATTCCTATCGAGGTTCGCGTCCGCTATCCCGGGGAACCCGCTGCAGGCTGCGCTGAGTTCGCAGCGGGTACCCGGAGCAGAGCTGTCCGGCTCCTACGTTAGCTTCCATCATTTTCCTGAATGTCCAGTATGTGCCGATCTACAAAAACCAAGCCAGAGCAGGTCTTGACCAACAAATGGTTCAAGTTCATCCTGCTCTTGGTGGAGTGACTGATAACTGACTTGAGGTGTCACGCACATTCTGGCCGTGCAACTTTAGATGAGCGAATTCAACTCTCTGGGATGGGGAGTTACCCTGCGGCGGGGACCCAAAGCACTTTGGAAAAGAGCTAAGGCACACAGTGGGTGCTCGATCCAGCTGCAGCACTCTTTCGGTCCCGCGAAGCGCCCCAGGCGGGCTACACTTTCCGGCTCCCGCATCTCCGCCCGCCTTGCGGGACGCGGCAAAGGGACTGGGGCCGAGCGAGCCAAACAGAAAATTAGTTGCGCCAGCTTTGCCCGCCCCGCCCCACCCCGCCTCGCCCCGCCCGTCCCCGGAGCCAGAAGGGGATTGTGGGGCCTCCGCGGCCGCCGGAGCCGAGCGGGGCGGAAGCGCGCGTAGTGCTGCTGCTCGGGCCCGACCGCGCCGGCCTCCGCATCTCCCGGCCCCGGCTGCGGGCTGCGGGCTGCGGTCGGGGCGGTCCCAGGCCAAGGCGCCTGCCGCCGGGTGCGCTTCCGCGAAGTGAAGTCTATCTCACGGGTTCCCGGAATGGAGCGGGGGAGGCTGAAGAGAGTCGCGGTTTCGCTTCTAGTCCTGCGTTCGTTTTCGCTGGCATCCACGGGGCCGGGGTGCGATCTCTGGTCTTGGTCGTTAGACAGCTCGGGGCTGGAAGAACGGACTTGGCCGGTGCCCGCGGGTTTGCGTTTCCTTTGCACCTCTTTTACGAACTGTTTTCGGCTCCCAAACCAAAGCTGCTAACCTTGGGGGTGTTTGGAAAGGTAAAGTGCTTTCCTGGTAACCCCGCCGGTGAGAGGCTTCCTGTGGTCCGGTAGTCAGGCCTGGGATAATGGAAACCGGGGCTGAGAAGAATGCTCAGTCCAGCCCGGGTCCCAGCCCTGCCACTCACTGTCTGTGATTGTGGTTATAGCCTTGGGTGAGACTTTGTCCCCCAAACAGGCTCTTGATATGGGTAAGTTGCCTGTCAGTTTCGGGGCGCAGGGAAGGGTGATTTCCCACCGAAGGGTATGACCGTCCATGACCTATCTAGTGGAGGAGGGGACGTGAGCTAACCGGTTCCTTCCTAAGTCACAGGCCCTGTGCAATATGTATGGAGGCCCATCTAAAGAGGAACTGGTGGGAGTGAGGGGCTTCCCCAGGCTTTAGGCTGTCCAGAGTCATCAGTGTTTCAGTGACTCTGCACATGTAAGATTTAGGGCTTTTCAGATTTTTTTAGTGTATGTAACCCTGAGCAAAGCAGTTGCTTCTCTCTGATGGTTGGTTGGATGATTGACTTTGGAAGTCCCCTTGGACTTAACATTCTGTGGCCTGGTGACTCTGCTCCTGGGGAACTTTCCAGGCTGGGGATGACAGATGACTACTATGTTTGCCCTACCACCTTCCCCTTTTCTAACAATTCTTCCTGGACTCTAATATTCGTTTCTTCTGTTCTAGTTACAATGGGGACAGAAGTTGAAAAAGCTACATTATTCCATGGCTCAGCAAATACTTCAATGAATCCTAGACTGGCCAAGAAAACTACACAGATAACATCCGGGCTGGGGACAGGGTCGGAGTGGGCTGCAGAGGGTGTGACAATTATAGAGAAGTCACTAATTCCAGATGGTCATGACTATGAGAGGGCTACAAAGGGTGCCAGCACTGAGTGTGTTATGGGGTCAGGGAAGGCCTGAGCTGGGTCCCAGTGGGTGAGCAAAGGTTCACAAGCAGATGGGATAGAAGAGACCCCAGGCAGGGAGCTGAGCAGGAGCCAGCAGAGCCTGTGTGTTAAAGTTGTGTTTTGACAATCATCTTGGCATGCTTGACTGGAGGAACGGCGATGGGGTAACAAACAGATTAAAGGACCTTGGATATCTTACCAATGCTAAAGTGTTTGGGGTTAAGCCTGGGGCTTTTCTTTTTTCTTTCTACTAGGGATAGAACCCAGGGCCTCAATCCTGTTAAGATGTGCTTGTCTGAATATGCTGTTGGTCAGGTATTACTTAGGGCGGGGGTGGAGACTAGAAGTTGGGAAGTTGTTTGAGTAGCAGTTCTCAACCCTAAAGTACATGTGAACTTCAGGGGGTCTTGTTCAAGTGCAGCCTGGGACTTGCAATGTAGACCAGGCTGACCTGGATTTCACAGAGATCTATTTGCCTGCGTCTTCCTCCCAAGCTCTGGGATAAAGTGGGCCTGGAACTACTAGGCAGGGCAAAGTGGAGGGGTTGACCCCAAGGTACAGGGGTGTCTGCCCATGTTCTCAACAGTAGAATAAGAACAGAACAGGGTGGCAGGACTGTGGACATGCCCGCTCAGAGTATCTGTGGCACAGGAGGTAGAAATGCTCAAGAGACATTTGGCTGTTGGGTCTGACTCCTTGGAGGGCCTGGACTGGAACGACCCAAAAGTGGGTAAGCAGGCTGTCACCAGAATCAGGAAAATTCATGTATGGAAGACTGAGACATTTAGGAAAGAGGTAATAGTGGTCACAGGCCATCAGGAAATACAAGAAAGAAAGGGTTCTATAAGGAGCAGGCCTGGAGACCTGAGCCTGGAAAATTCCAGGCCCTGATACTCGTGATTGATAGATTGGGTGGCAAGAATTAATATAGGTTGGGCTTAGTGTTGCACACCAGTAATCATAGCACTTGGAAGGCTAAGGCAGCAGGATCACTTTAGAGGCCAGTATGAGCTACAGGGAAACCCTGCCTCAAAAACACCGAAAAAAGGGGTGAAAAAAGACATCAGTAGGCACCCCCACTAGGGGAACGGGAAGTTGGTGAAGTGGTGCCATGAGCATTGCCAGGTGGCACAGGCCTATAATCCCAGTTACTTGAGAGGTGGAGGCAGGAAGACGGAAAGTAAAACAAAGGCTGGAGATGTAGTTCTATGGCAGAGCAACTGCCTAGTGTACACAAGTTCCTAAGTTCAGTACCCAACACTGGGGGTCGGGGGAAGTGCTGGGGGAGAGAAGAAAGTGTTGTGGGCAAAGCACACGATGGAGAAGGAGACAGGTTATAATGGGGTGGAACCTAGTGCAGAGGAAACTAGGGATGAGAAGCTGCAGAGATGGTCTGGAAAGAAGCAGGGCCTGAGCTGATCTGTGTCTTGAAGGTTAGACAGTCTCTAGCACATGCACAGGGCATTATGAGAACCCCATGTTGCTCAGGAGATACAGTTGTCTCAGTACTCTCGGGCTTCTCCCTCTTCCCTGGTACTTTACTGAGTCATCTTTCCAGCCCCAGAGTTTGTTTTGTTTGTTTTGTTTTTTTTTTTTAATGTGATGGGCCCAAGCATTTGGCTCAGTGTCCCACATACAGTAGATGCTCAGTGAATGAACAAATGAATGAATGTCCCAGTGAGTGAGAAAAATGGTCTACATGCACTTGGTGAGTTTGAGGATTAGTGCACCATCCCAGAAGAGTCATATATGCATATTCATTAAAATTGTAAAAAGACTTTTGACACATCTGGTAAGTTCTACCTCTTACATGTTCGAGATACTCGGAAAAACATAGATATCATGCCAGACATGGTGGCACATGCCAGTACTCTGGAGGCAGAGGCAGGCAGATCTCTATGAGTTCAGACCAGCTGGGGTTACAGGGAAACCATATCTCCAAAAGATAAAAAATAATAATAATAATAAGATCATGAATGTCTTTGGGTGGTGTTGGGAGTACCTGGTGCCTGAGGCCCCGGAGAGGATGAGATCTTTATGGGAGGCGAGGCAGGTGCAGATAGGAGCATGAGGAGTGTCCTGGAGGAAGAACTCCAGAGGAAGTAGGGGTCTTGGAGGAAGAAGGGTCCAGGAGGAGGGAGTGGCTCCACAGTGGATAAGGAGATCTAGATGAGCCTACTTAGAAGGAGATGCAGTGGAGAGGAATGAGAGAGACCATAATGGTTTGGTCACACTGGTTTGGGTTGCAGAGCAGAGCTCAGCTTCCCCAGAGAAAGGGAGGAAGCCAAATACAGGGACAGAAGAGTGTGACTTTTTTTTTTTGGTTTTTTGAAGCAGGGTCTCCCTGAAGCCCCAGCTGTCCTGGAACTCACTATGTAGACCAGGCTCTCCCTGAAGCCCCAGCTGTCCTGGAACTCACTATGTAGACCAGGCAGGCCGTGAACTCACAGAGATCCACCTGCCTCTGCCTCCCGAGTACTGGGATTAAAGGTGTGTACCACCATGCCCAGCATGAATAAAAATTTTTAAAAATTTAAAAACCAGGCAGTATTGCCTCAAAAATTTTTATTTATTTATTTATGCAACATTTATTTATTGTGTGTGTGCATGTATGTGCACATGCCAACAATTGCATGTGGAGGTTAGAGTACAACCTGCTAGAGTGAGTATTCTCCTACCATGTGGGTTCTGGGGATGGAACTCAGCTTGGCAATATATACTTTTACCCACGGAGCTACCCCACCAGCCCCGGAATAACTATTTTAGAAGAGGGTTGAGACAGGGTTTCCCTGTAGCATATCTGGCCTGGAACTTACTATGTAAACCAGATTGGCCTCATAGAAATCCACCTACCTCTGCCTCCTGAGTACTGGACTGAAGGTGTATGCTACCTCCCTTGTGACTTTTTTTTAATATTTTACTATTTTTGCCAGGCATGTGACACATGCCTTTAATCCTAACTTTTGGGAGGCAGAGGCAGGCAGAGCTCCATGAGTACAAGGCCAGCCTGGTCTACATATGAGTTCCAGGCCAGCTGGGGCTACAGAGAGACCCTGTCTCAAAAAGACCCCAAAATTTTTTAAAGTATTTTTACTATTTTTGTTTTATATGTGTGCTTGCATGTGTAGTGCACCCATGTCATGCAATGCCCAAGGAGGTCAGAAGAGGGCCTGGAATCTCCTGGAACTGGAGTTAGACAGTTGCTAGCCGCCATGTGGGTGCTGGGAATTGAACCCAGGTCCTCTACAAAAATAGCCAGGGCTCTTAACCGCTGAGGTATCTCTCCAGTCCCCAGTGACCTTAATAAATAGTTGGGGGGGGCTCTTTTTTGAGAGAGGATCTCTGTAACCCCAGCTGGCCTGGAACTCACTGTGTAGACCAGGCTGGCCTTGAACCCACAGAGATTCCCCTGCCTCTGCCTCCCAAGTGCTGGGACTACAGGAGTGCACCACCACGCCCGGCTCCCGGTGACTTTTTAAAAAACATTTTTATTTTCATTCATGTATATTTCTGTGTGAGTGCATGTCACATGTGTGTGGGTGACCTCAGAGACCAGAATATGGCATTAGATTCCTTGGAGTTAGAGGCAATTGTGAGCCACCAGGCATGGGTGCTAGGAAATGAACTCAGAACTCTGGAAGAGCAGTGAGTACTCTTACCTGCAGAGCTATTGGTACAACCCCATTAGGATCATTCTTTATTCCTTTTCCACATTTAGGATGCCCACCAATCCTGCCTCTTCTACCTTCTCTGTGGAATCAGGTGACTGCACCATCTTCACCCCCATTCTGAATAGCCTCTTAGTTGGTCTTTTGTCCCTCCATGGCCCTGCCATCCATCTCTGCAGTGATCACAGCAGTCTTGCTCAAAGATGATCACATGCAGAGGGAGGCCCTAGTACTGCAGGAACCTGCAAGGCATCATGCCACCTGATGTCCCAGTCCCTCTAGTATGTCTCCTCTGTCCTTACTGGGCCATGGTCATGCTGGCTTCCTGACTGTTTCTTAGTGTATTCCTGCCTTCATAGGCCTTCCTGAACTCCTTCTTTAACATTGCACCCAAGCCTGATATGGTAGGAATTTATAATCCCAGCACTTAGGAGACTGAGGCATGAGGATTGCAAGTTCTGGCTACATCTTGAGACTCTCTCTCAAGACAACATTTTTTCTTTCTGAGACAGGGTCTCACTATGAAGACTGGGCTGACTTTGAACTCAGAGATCCCTTTGCCTCTACTTCCTGAGTGCTAGAATTAAAGGCATTATGTTTCCACTCTTTTTTGGTGGTTTTGTGGGGGATTTTGTTGTTTTTGTTACTGTGTGACAGGATCTCATATAGCTGAGGATGACCTTGAGTTTCTGATCCTCCTGCCTCTACCTCCTGAGTGTTGTGATTACAGGCATGTACTACCATACCCAGCTTTATGCAGTGCCAGGGATTGAACCTAAGACTCCTGCATGTTAGGCAAGCACTCTACTAACTGAGCTACATCTCCAGCCCTTATAAACAAAACTGTACCCCACTCTACTCTCATTTTCCTTAGCCCTTAGTGACACATATTTATGTCTGTTGTCATTCTTTCCCTTCCTACATGAGTACTGGGAAGACAGGATCTTTGGGAATTGTGTGGCCATGTTCAAAGGCCTGGCCAGTACTAGAGTTACATAGAGGACTAAAGTAAATGTTTACAAAGAACTGAAGGATAGAATTCTGAGCCTGTCTTCATGCCCAGGATACCCTGGAGGTGAGCCTGTGGCCCATGCTGTCTTGTTCCAGTGCCTTCATGCTATGTGCAGGTAGGGTCTCTCCACGGCTTTGCTGGTAGCCCCACCCAGCAGGAGATATCCCTGGGCCTATTCCTGCTGGGATCTTTCTGCTCTGTGTCCCTCAGGCTCTGGCTCCAGGGGACTCTTCTCAGTTCTGATTTGCAAAGAAACCATCAACTCCTCTTCTAACTATTGTCCACATTTTCTTTTCCTTTAAAAAAAAATTCTAAAAAAAAAAAACAACTTTGACAATAATGTACAAGTGTTTATGTAAATATAACACATGCATACCTGATGCCCTCAAGCCGGAAAAGGACATGGGGTCCCTTGGAACTGGAGTACTGGAGTTAGGGTGGGTGTTAGCCACCAGGTGGATTCTGGGAACCAAATCCTGGACCTCTGGAAGAACAGCCAGTGCTCTTAACCACTGAGCTATCTAT